AGTTTAACGTGTACCACCGGTGGTACACATGGCACGGAACGTGTTAACAACGCGAGGGATCTATATTGAACTTGTAGTCTCTCTCTCTCTCTCTCTCTCTCACCTGCGTTGACTAGTCCGCTGGTGTTGTACAGCGTGCCCAAGTGCGGGCCGCTCAGGCTGAGAAAGGTGTGCAAACGCGGAAGAAGCGGCCGCAATTGAGGCCGCGTCAGAGCGCTTCTAATGATGATGGTCCCTAGAGAATGTCCGATGAAGCTCACTTTCGTCGGGTTCAACCCCGACGTCTCGATGTGATGCAGAATCTCGGCTACCAGTCGATCCGTCATCGTGTCGAAGTCCGAGAATGTGTCGCCCTTTGAACAAATCCCCACGAAACGTGTAACGTGCGACGCTTCTTCAGAAGCAAACAGAGAGAGCTTTCCCGCAGGGCATTAATTAAATCGGGAAAGTCAACGACAATTGACTCGTGAAAGGATCCTCTCCTCGCGGAGAGCGGGATAAATAAAAAATAAAAAGAATCTCACCTGATTCCTCTCGGACATTAAAAAGTCGAGATGCGCCCCGGGAAGGCTCAGTTCCAGGTAGGTCTTGACCAGACGAAGGTCAGCAGGGTTGCCGTCGAGGCCGTGCACGCAGATGATGAGATGGGCACCTTCCGGCGAGAACAGCCGGTACTCGTTGCTGATGTGGAAGTACGGCATGGTCGAGGCCAGGGTCGTATAGTCACTAAGAGGCACATTCGATCTTAGAGGTTTTACCGACGACGGGGTGGTGGTCAGGAAGTCACCGTATCCAAGGGAACGGGCACGTTTATGGAAACGCAACTGCGCTTCCTTGCGTTCTCTAGAGGGGATCAGGTAGACAAAGAGAAAAAACTTAACTACGGAAAAACGCAAACGTACTTCGAGAACTCAAGGACAAGCAGACAAGAAAACTGGGGAGAAGGAGGGTGAGGGGAAATGGCACAGACGTTTTTTTTTATCAGGGCTTGCGAAACGATAAACGAGAACAGAGCAGCGCAGAAAGTAATCGACAGTTCAGCTTTGAATTGCTCGGAAAGTTCTCGAGAACTTTCTGTTTCCTTCGTGTCAATTGTTCGGGATGGATGTTCCCTGAGCGTTCGCTCGAAACGAACTTTTCGAGCAAGTCAACTCTTCAGGCGAGGAAACGAAACGTATTCATAACGAAAGGAGCTGTACGGAGCTGAGAGGATCTTCTAATAATAATCTACGTGACCACAGTCGGTGAAATCTTCAGCGAAACGAACTACGTGTAACCTGATGGTGAAGCGTTGCGAGGCTATTCTAGAAGAACACTTTGCTCTAAACTGTCTAAACGATTGCTTCGTCACGCGTCAAGTGTCAAGTATTATTATTCCCTGTTGGGTTCGTTCAACGGCACGAGTCGTTCGTGCATCGTACCGTTGAACAGTCGTTAGCCAACCGTCTGAACGCACCTGTAGATCTTCCCCGAGAAGCTCATCTGCCTCTTGAACTCCTCTTTGCACTTCTTAAAGTTAACCGAGTCGTCGAGCGTCGACTGCAACAGTTCCTTGCCCTCTTGGTAACAGTCCAAGCAAATGTCTCTGGCCCCGTACGGAGGATCCCTCTCCCTCTCCCTCTCCCTCTCCCTATCCCTATCCCTGTTCTTCTGCGGACTGCACGGCGCCGTCTTGGTCTGCTTGGGACTCCTGACCGGCTTCACCGTCTCGTAAACGTGGTACAGAGGATTGTCGATGATGGCCGGCGGGTCGCGAAACTCCTCCGGCGGCGGCGGCTCGTCCTGGAACATCTTCGGCGGTGGGAGTCGCACCTCCTCGTACGAGTGCTCCTCCACCGTCTCCTTCGCCGGCCTCTCCTTCCTCGGCACGATCTTCGACAGTTTCTGGCGCAGCTGCTCGCTCGATAGCTTGGCGTTGCGACGCTGCTCCGAGCTGGACGTGTCCCCGCTGCTGACCCATCCGGAACACTCGGACGTGAGGTTGCTGGAACTGGAGCTGGTGGTCGGGCTACTCGGTCTGCTGGACGGCGGGCTCAGAGGATTCGGAATGACGGGAAGGTTGTTGCTCAGGCTGTCCTTGCTGTCGCGTATCGGCATGCAGGGCAACGACACCGCGCTCCGCGGCACCACCACCTTGTTCTGCGCCACCGGCACGCTCGCGCATCTCAGTCTCTTCACGCTTGGCGCCGGGCCGCCGCCAGACACGTCGGACAGCGTCGTCGTCCCGTTCGTCGCCGGCGCCTCCATCGGAGACTTGATCGGCTCTACCTACGGCAGCGAACCACACAGACAAATATAGAAGACGAACGAACAATCTGTCATGTCGCCATTTTTCAGGTGAGATCGTAGTGAAAAACTGGGCGAAAAACTGCGACGAGGGAGTTCCGTACAGACCGAAACAAATGACAGTCTGACGGTGCAAGGTCAGGATGCATCGAAACTTTCTCAGCCAAGGTCTCTCAATTTTTGACCAAATTTTGTCAAAGAAACTCGACTCGTTAAATTTTTCAGTGTTAAACTCAGTACGGCGTTCAAACATCGAGTTTTGTATTCAGCCAATGGTTTAAAACTGTTTTGTCGTCGACGTTTAGTGCCGGCCTTGCTCAATTTTGCCCACAATTTCATGGACTTTCCAAGTGATTGATCGACGTTAAAATTTCCAGATTAAGAACCGCTTGAATCAGCTTCGTGCCACATTGCGTTTGTTTCGCGACTTTTAAATAACTTTCGAACACGCAAGTATTATCTAGATTATCTGTACGAAATTACTGTTTACTCAACTCAATACTGCGACACTTTGAAATACCAAGCGTACCTTCAGTATGATCTTGTTGTTGTTCTCCACCTCGAGAACGCTGGTCGTCGACACCGGAGGCGGGGGCCTGTACTTGGGCAACGGTGCCACCGCGGGGTCTTGATAAGCCGGTGGCGGTGGTGCCGGTTTCCTGTTCCTGTGACTGCACTTCCTCCCGGTCTCCTCGGCCGGGTGATCGATGTCCAAAACGGGGGCGGAGTGCGGCCTCCTTGAGTGCCTGTCCTTCCTCTTCTCCACGCGTTGCTCCTTCTTCGGCTCGGACATGGCCGTCATCACTTTGTAGAACATCTCGTTGGTCAGCTCTTGCATCTTGTCCTCGCTGTGCGGCCTCCTGTGCTTCTCCTGTGCCTCGCCGTAGCCCGCGAGGACACCGTTGCGCGGACTCTTCGTCACCTGAGGACCCGGCCTCTCTTCTCTCCGTCGCGGTCGTTCCCTTCGAAAGTCGCCGTACTCGTTGCGATCCACGTCGTCCACCAGTCGTTCCGTGCTCTTTGGCCTCCTCGTCATCCTATCCGGCTCTGCGTGCGTTCTGCCGCTGGTGCCGTTCGTTCGATAGAAGAAAGAGTCCGTGGTCGTCGACAAGTAGTTGCACCTCTTGTAGAAAGGGTCGGCCATCATGGTCGAGTGGCCGCCACCGTTCATCGAGTCCTGAATCTCCCGATTCCTTTGGTTCAACCCTGAACTGGTTTTGCCGATCGTGTGGTACCTGCGGGACTCCAGCCCGTTCGCCTGGCTGTACTTCCCTCCCGTTTGATGCGACTGTTTGCGCGAGTTGCCGCGATACGTCACTCGGTCGAGAGTGGCTGTGTGAAGAGGCTGTTGCTCCGCGAGAAACGTGTCGCCGTTGACGTTCGCCTTGCCCGGCAGGAAACTGTTTTGATCGTTGGCGGTTGATAACGGCTGACGCGTTGCCAGTCGGTGACTGCGTGGCTCCAGTCGAATTCTTCTCGTATCCAGAGAATGGTAATCTGCAAGGAAGTGGTCTTAAGATACCCATTGGATATCTAGATTAAGCCTGTCAAAGTTCCCCTTTTCATGTATACACTCTTGCTGAAAAGTCTTGGGACAAAAAAAAAATTTTATTTCTAACATTCAGTACTTGTTGTGTAGTATATACGCATTTTATAAATACAATGCAATGTATTTAATACAATATATTAGGATAGAGTCTGTTTTATTGCATTATTTTTATTATACAAATATAGTATACTTGCCCTAAGATTTCCGACTATATTTTGTAACTCACCGGGGTCTCAACAATTAATTATTATCATCTATGAAAAATTATAAATATTACGTTCTTTCAGTTAAAGTTGTATCTCATTCAAAGATATTTCTCATTTTTCGTTGCAAGAAGCGGGCGATGGTGGAGAAAGAAATAGCAGAGCATAGAGGGAGCTTTTTCCCTATGGCTCGCCGGCTGCCAATCTAGATGATATTTCACCGACATATTTTCCGTAACACGAAAGAGGAACAGACACCGCAGAATGTTAACGGGAAGGTGTTTTCCAAGAGGCGTCGTGAAACTTGTCGGGCGGAGAATAATGAGCCAGGTGCGAGTGTGATAAAAAGTGAAAACTTCAAAAAGGAAAATTAAGCGACGTACGAAAAGAGAGAGAGAGAGAAAGAGTATGAACCGTGTGTGGCGAACGAGAGTTTTTTTTTTTTTTTTTTACCGTTCAAATTCAAAGGGAGTGTGTTGCAAGAGAGAATGCAAAGAACGTGGAGAGTTTCTACCTCTCGTTAGAGAACGAGAGACTTCTTTTATACAAAGTATAATCTGTTTCAATTCTGCGACTGCGCCGAATTAATATTTCTACCGAAATCTAAAGAGAGATCTCGCGATCGAAAGATCTTCCACTCTTCGCAGATGATAAATTATATGAATGAAGGACTCGTCTACCTTCGACGACAGTGGGAGCCTTGTTCTCGTTCCAGCAGTCGGTCATCTGACCGTGATCCATCGTGCCGAGGCACGTGGGCACCGCGAGAGTCTGCTCGCAGGACTTGTTCGACGGCCTGTAACCTGGCAGCTGTCCACCGGGCGGCAGTTCGGGAAACATGGCAGCGAGAAGCGACGTTATCGAGGTGTTCTGAGGGTCGGCCTGTTGCCTGGGCAGCACCAACATCTGCGTGGACTTGGCGCGAGGCAACGGGACGACCGGCGTCGAGCCTAGCGTTGGATTCGGCGCGGAGCAGGCTTGCTGCCCCGAAGGAGGGAAAAGCGTGCTACTGGACGGTGCTGTCGACTTCTGCCTTCCTCTCGAGGGCACGGTCGCCGGCGGCGTGACGTTCCGCGTCCCGCCGCCTCTTTGCCTCGGGAACAGCTGCGTGGACACCGAACGAGGCAGAGTCTTCGGCGAGGTCCTCGGCTGCACCGGCGCGATCTCCGGCCCCAGTTGATCCAGGGACTTGCTGTGCCTGGCAGGAAGCGTGGAGGGAGTGAGCGTCAAGCGGCCTTGAACCGAGCCGATCTCCTGGGCCGCGCCTTCGCTCCTCGGCGACCAAATTCCCATCGATCGAGACTCCAGGATCGCTGCTATGCCGCAGCTGCA